ATATATATATATATATATATGTATATATATATATATATATTATATATATATATATATATACCAACACCCCTCTGCGTGAGAAGACATGCATGTAGATATAGACAAAGTTACTTAAACATACACGCATATAGTCGTATCCCCTACACCCGCACATGCGTGTATGCACACACCTGTTCATTGGTAGACCACAGATCCATGACTTCGGCTACTATGTGTTGCTTCTGCTCTGTCCCTGATGCCCGCTCGTGGAAGATGGACAGGTATCTCTCTAAGTACACCATGATGTGTGAGTACGACTTCGCACCAGCCTTCAACACACACTGTGTGAACACGGACAACTGCAGCAGAGACTATGGTGTGGCATGCAGGATAGCAAGACAGCGGTTGTTATTAGAGGGACGTGATGTACGTATATGTCAAGTGTAGTGGAGTACACTATAGCAATTGTGTGATAAAGCTAAGTCATTTATAAATATGCCAAGTGTAGTGCAATACATTATACATTGTTTGATAAAGCATTGTGTGATTAAGCAACGGTATATATTTATATGTGACTGTGCGGGATACGAGATAGGGAAAGCGTGTGACAGAGAGACGGTTCAGGTACAGAGTTGCAGACCAATGCGGAATGGGAAGGCGTGTCTCAGAGTGAAGTTGTGTGCGTGTGACAGCCCATTGAGCGAGCATTGGATTCCAATTGAATATAAAACCCCCTTTTCATTGGTCACTAAAACCCCTATTCATGGGCACTAAACCCCCTTTTCATTGGTCACTACGAAGGACTCCTTGAACGGAGTTGCATTTATACGCCTCCAACCCATACACAGTGCACGTGCGACAACTGACTGCCGAATCGGGTGCAAGTTGAATACGTTTTACGGACGCAAGTTATATATAGTTTTGCATTGCATTGGTACATATTTGAATACGTTTAACGGACGTAAGTTTTATATAGTTTCGCATTGGTATATACTTGAATACGTTTTACAGACGTAAGTTTTATACAGTTTCGCATTGCATTGGTCTATATCTTTTTCGGTCTATCACCAAACTGCTCATATTCAGACAACTGCAACACGTACTGTGGTAAGAGAGTGGCGTGCACAGGATTTATAAACACATAAATAGCAGATACGTACTGTCTTAAGCCATCCATGCCCATACACACGTTGCAGAGGTACATACCAACTGCTCTTCTTCGCTGCTTTCGGCATCGAACCCTATAGCTGAGGTACCCTCACTTCTTAATCTGTGGCAAAGTGCACGTGGATATTAAGCGTATAGAAAAACAAAGCATACGGTCCAATGTCATGAATAGAGGTAGAGGATATATGTTTTTTAATTGATATGAATGCACATATAGCAAATATAGCACACATAGCTGTATACACATATGGAAACAATATGTACAGTACTATGTTATGAATTCAAATAGAGAATATATGTTTTCAATTTACGTATATGCATATATAGCTATATATACATACAGAAACGATATATAGAGTCCAATGTCGTGATTACAAATAAACGATATATGTGTTCAATTTACAAATATGCATATATAATGCACATGCAGAAACAATATATACAGTACCCCGTCATGAATACAAATAGAGGATATATGTTTTCAATATATATTCATGCATATATAGCTATATACACATAGAAGACATACAAAAGCATACGCATAGACACACCCACTCCCTCTCACTCACACACTCACGTGAACGCCACCGGGTACACCCGTACACTAATACATACAAAAGCAATGTACGTCTGTGAATTGTCATATGTAAGCACAGTTGTGTGTAGCTTATGCGCACTGACCACTGTGGTGAAACACTGGAGTCTAACATTATACCGCTCTGGACCGGATGTCCTATATACATTTGCCGAAGCATAGCAAAAGCAAACACGTACATCTATACAGCATCCAAGCTAAGCAACATCAAGCCTATCTCATAGGTACGTACACACACACACGCATATATATATATATATAAATATATATATATATATGTATATATATACAAACCATGCTTATCCATGCAGCCCCACAGCTCAGTAACATCGTACACATCTCATAAAGTACATGCCAATACAAACTATATACACCCATACATCGCCATATGCACGTATAACCGCATGCAGCTTGTTATATACAGCTTGTTATATGCCGCTTGTTATATACAGCTTGTTATGCAGCTTGTTATATGCAGCTTGTTATGCCGCTTGTTTTCACTTACAGTTCTGGGGTGACCTGTTCGTCTAACATTTTGGCGATTTGGTCAGACGACTGTCGTTCCCTGAACGCGTCTACCAGTTTCGCAGCCATCTCACCAAGCCCTGTGCTGGCGTCCTCGTATTTGCTAAATATGGCAATAAAATTAATAGGCAATTTAGTGGCCATTAGTTTCAGTACGACGCTAAAAATTTATCCAGCCCTGTGCTGGCATCTTCGTGTTTGCTAAATATGGCAATAAAATCAATGGGCAATTTAGTGGCAATTGGTTTCCATACACCACTTAAACTTTAACCAGGCTTATGCTGGTATCTGCGTATTTGTAGAGTATGGCAATGGCAAACAAACAATCCCACTAACCAATCGGGTACAGAAAAATAGCACATGAGAATGATGGAGAACAGACAAGTAAGTAATATCTGCGAGTATGAAAGGGCTTCTCTCATGCACACTACATATTACTAAGAATAGCACATGAGAATGATGGAGAACAGACAAGTAAGTAATATCTGCGAGTATGAAAGGGCTTCTCTCGTGCACACTACATATTACTAAGAATAGCACATGAGAACAATGGGGAACAGACAAGCAAGGAATATCTGTGAGTATGAAAGGGCTTCTCTCATGCACACTACATAATACTAAGTCGAGAAACATTTACACATAATAAGCAAGCGGGGGGCAGTATACCAATACCTGTAATCTCAAGTACAACTCACTACCCACGAGCAAAGCACAATCAGAAAACCTTATGCGTGCACTAAAACTATACCCACCCACACAATGAACAGCGAATGGCAATGCCAGTGCACATTGAGAGCAGTCTCACTCACAAAGTAGGTACAGACCTTAACAACCGGATGACCTTGTAAACATTCTCGCCTACACATTGAGTACACTATTTCGTACATACATACATACATACATACATACATGCGTACGTACGTACATACATACATACATACATACATACATACATACATACATACATTCATGCATACATACATACATACATACATACATACATACATACATACATACATACATACATACATACATACATACATACATGCATGCATGCATGCATGCATAC